ATAAAGAATTTTTAATTGGGTACAGTTTCTATAACAGAAATGTATAATGAAAATTAATGAACTGCTTTGAAGTCACGGATTAGAATTAGATGAAAATATATATTTAATTGAAAAAAAAACACGATTAATGGGAAACACAAAATTAAATTTTTGAAGACTTCAGGTCAAGTTTTAAGTAAATCCTCATATTACTTCATAATGCAGAAACTGCACTCTAATTTTGTTACAGGCAATGCCTATTGTAAAAGAATTGATGGAGAAGTAAGGATCTCGAGTGATTATTTTAACGACAAAAAATGATTATTTTCAAATTAACTCATCGTTTTCTTCGAACAATTACAAGAAGTTGCCAATTATTCAATTAGAACGAGAGAACACCTTACGTAGTCTCAACTGCATCCACGTAAGACTAGAAGAGGGCATATTTTCGAAGGCAACCACGGCCCCCACCTAGCGTCGCCGTTTCCTTCCAGAAGGCCCTGGCTTTTAACGAATTCCTCCGCTGACGCAGTGTCTCGCCGAAGGGCGCGCTCCGTTCGATTGCCATAGCCGCTGGAACGAACATGTCGGGCATCGAACCCGCCCCTTGCCCACTTCGCTACAACCTCTCTGCACTGAAGGGCAGAGATAGATGGACTAAATTCTACGTTGAAATTCAAGTTATTGCGCTGGAAAGAAAACTTGTGTATATTATCCGGATAATACCGGTTTTCTAAATTCAGCATGGGCCAAAGAATAAGTTATGTACGCCGCTAATGAAAATTAGAACACTTCCACAGAAATAAATTGCCATACTTGTTTTAGTTCAGTAGATAATAGCTATTAACATACCTAGAAATATTATAAATGTTATTACTGCCGACGCCAAAAGTTGAGGACGACAAAAATCGAGGCGGAACGTAGAGGAGCCGGGATTTTTAATTTAGACAAGACAGTAATAACAGTGTAACATTTCGTGGTATGTTCAGTGTTTTATCAGTTACCGTAAAATATCAATTTTTTTAAAAAAAACCTTACGACATTACTGCGATATGAAACACATGAATTCTGTTGTTGCGGCACGATAATCGATATTGTTGGGTATTGCTTGCGATATATTTCAACAATACACTTGTATACCATGTCTCGAGGAAGATGGACGCTGAAAATTTGGTTGTACCTCAGAAAAGGTTGGATGCAGCTGCAGAAGCCACGCGAGATTTAATACTTGAAAAATCTAACGCACGATACGAGATGGCATACGAAGAATTTAAAACTTGGCAATTAAAAATCACCTAGCCATGATTACAGAAGATGTAATGCTTGCGTACTTAAAGAACTTGGTAAGGCAATTTACACTTATTCCTTTCATAAAGACAAACCTTTGTCATACGTTTTGTTTTACAGTCGCAGGTACATAAGCCAACCTCATTATGCGTATATTATTCTATGCTGAAATGCACAATGTTGATTTGCAATGAATGGGTGGTTGTTTACTTAGGTTACTAAGAATGTTAAAACCCGTTGCTACGGATTTTAAATTTCTTAACCTACAGGTAGGAACAACTGCTCTTTACAAACTTATAGGGTTGCATATTAACAAGGGTTAAAGACGCATATGACCTACAAAACATTTACCATGCAAAAGGTGAGGTAAAATATTTTATTTAAATTGAATTTATTTAAAATTGTCATTAGGAAGAAAATACAAAATTTTGCTCCTTGAAATTCTTCGAAAAAGTTTTGTTATCCAAAAAACCCTGTCATATTCGGGACTTTTTCGTTTGCTATAATTTTTTTAATGATTGATATTAGTGCCTAATATGTACAAATTCATATATAATTTTAAAGATAATAAATTTACCTACAAATTTGTTTCAAAAATATGTATGCAAAGAGTAGGAGATCTATGATGTTTTTAAATTTTACTAAATTTTCCTTTTTATTTTGAAGTTCATCTAGATTGTTAAGGGTGTCTATGATGTGGTATTTTTGTATTTCTAAGGTAATAATAAATTTAAAAAAACAGATGTTTGGATTTTGAAGGATATACGCGTTTTTGGGGGTGGGGATGGAAGGTCTCTCGTACAGTATGCGTAAAATTGTGTTTTTCAAGCAATCTTTGTGCATGAACAAGACCAACAGATCGTTCGATTTTTTTCGACAAAACACATTGATTGGCACATTTCTTCGCCGATCTCTCCAGGATATTTTTGAATTATAGGTAAACACATGTGCCTTATAACTTCAATGTTCCTACGAAATGCCGTGATAAATTGCCGTGAATTACTTTACTCTCTTCCCGCTTGCATGAATCGATTTTCTTAATCACATTGACGATAATAAATCTAATTTTGTAATGAGCAAGAATTTTAACAAGTATTTTAAACCATAATTTATCATGTAATATTTTAAGTCTGAAATTGGTCGAGCCGGGCATCTGAAAAGTGTAAATATATTGTTTTTATGATAAAGTTACAATGCACAAATAAAGTTTTACTTTCTCGCTACGGAGAAGACAGAAAGTTTTGTAATGCTGCGCCAAAAAAAGCGAATTTTCGTTAGAAAAACTCTTATTACAAGGGTCTGGCAACACAAAAGTAGAAAAATCGAGTTGCTGAATTTACAAAACAAAACTCTCTAACATGTAGTGTAGCCTATATCCATGTTTTGTGAGTCTTTAATACCGAAAAATCGATTGGGAGCAAAACGTCTGTCCATCATTTACTTAGATGTTGTTGGATAGTATGGAGAAAGGTCCCACGTTCTTTAAAGACACTGCAATAATTGCAATTTTCGAAAAATCAATCACTTTTTTGGTGTCTTTCCACAACTACAATTATGAGGATAGATATTTTTTCCTTAGTGAAATCTGTTTCTTAAATATAGGTTTTGAAATAAGGTCATCAACAATGTTTTCGCAAATTTGAGTACTTTTCGCTTAAAGTAAATTTTGCGTGAAAATACGGGGAGAAAACATGTGTTGTTTGAGCACCAGTAGAGTAACAAGACAAAACCCGTCAGAGGCTTCACTCCAAGCTGCGTTTGTGCTGCTTCAGTCCGTCCGCTTCGGCTTTTCCGCTCGCTTCGCCCAGCGCCAGTGCGTGCCTTCGCCCGCGAAGAAGCCCGAGCGAGCCACCCGACCTGGAATCGAACTCATGATTTACGGGGCCGGGGAAGCCACGCCGCCGTTATGCCGCCCAGAACGGGCGCCGGCCTTCATTTGTTCTCCGCGCGACCTCTCGATGGCTTCGAAAGATCGATTTTATGACGCGGCGTAAGCGCCTGTGCTGCGAGAACTCACTGCTGGGTGGTCTCGGCAGCGAAGGAAACGGAAAGAAGGTAGGGACAACACTGACGGAATGAAGAGGAGACAGATGAAATAGAGCGGTTCGAATAGAGGACGATGTGAATAAAAGTACGAGTAAGGAAAATATGTCTTCTGAACCGGAGAAAGGAGGAAATTAAGAAATCTATGAACATTTTCTGTAACTATGTAATGATTAGCGATAAAATGACCAACAGAGAGAAAAATGTATATTCGATAAAAAATGCTGTATCGGAGCGTGTAAATGAGGCAAATACGACGAGGGCATAAGGTAGGGGGAGATCGGGATGTTGCGATGGTGGCAATATATAAGGAATTGTTTTATGTTAAATGGTTTAATAATTCTGTCCCTAGCAAAAAAGCAACTATCTCCCACCTTAATATTTATGTAAGGGGCAAGGTTTCTACACCAAATGAATCATATTAACAATGACAATTTTCATTTTTTAGACATTCCGTAACATAATGACAGTGATGTAAACCCAACAAATCATGTAATTAATTAAGAAATTTTAGTGTTTCTATCGATGTGACAATGCGTTGAGTTGACTTATTAGCTGAATATGATCGAGATGAAGGATTCCTTTTGACTTATTTCTTGACATCAAAATTTGACCATATCCTGCAATGGTTTGTGCAAATACGTTGCACATTGAACTTGATCATGATATTCCATAGAAATGTCTCTGAATGGAGAGAAAAAAAAACAGAAAATTAAAATTTTAGACAATTACAAATCAAAACAAGAGTAACGAATCAATATTGTAAAATATGAGAATACGAAGTTGAAGTGAGCAACTGAAAGTATGACCAAAGACTGGAAATTTAACGAGAAGAGCTACACACAGAACATCTCTTCCTCCGTACGGGTGAGAGCTGAATAGAGAAATTGTGAAGCAGGATGCAGAAAAAGGGATGGGGTGTACGCCCACTATCTCTCGTACAGCCTAGGAAGGAATGGGCCAACAAGACACGAAGGAGACAGAAGTCCTCAATTTTCTCAAAACGGAAGAACGGAGGAACAATAAAAAGGATCGAGAAGACACGTTTAGAAGAACAATTCTCCAAAACAACCCCGAATCGTTTAAGGGGGGACGACGAGGAACGAGAGAACACAGCAAGAAAGGCAACGTTAATTCCCAGGCCCGCAGAAGGACCGAGGACGAGCAAAAGAAGCGCAAGGAAGCGGAGATAGAGAAAACGATGCTAGACTTTTGTCCACATCTGCAGAATCGAAGAAGGACGAAGGCAGGAAGGGACACAAGAGAATTCTAATATCGATGCTTTACTTGACGTCTGAAAGTACAGAGGTTTCAAATCCCCAAAACCGTGAAAAGATGAGAGAAAGCCGAAAAACGAGAGAATTGAGCAGTGTGTAGGCAGAACGGCCGTCGTGAAGGAGGATGAACGAACAAGAAACATGTGGGGTAGACATCCTCAAAACGGAGGAAAGACGAGACAAGTCGAGGGAGGAGAAGATTGAGCAGGGCGGCGGTAGAGCGTTTATCCGACCACCCCCGTCCGAGGAAGGGCGGAGGCACGAGCGAGAAGAGCAAGAGAACGCGGGAGCGGCGGCCGGCGGCATCGTGCGGAGAGTGGCGTATTTCACACAAGCGACGCGCCGTTCTCTTGTTCGACCGGACGCCCCAGAGCGGCGCGGCGCGGCGCGGCGGGCGACGTCTTCATTGTGACGTCACGCACCGGCGGGCCCGGCCGGCAGTAAACTCTCGCCGGACAACGGGTTCGATCCCCGTGGGCGGGGTTGGGCGCCAGGCGGCGGCGAGCGGGAGCGCACGCGATTCAATAAGACGCCGCCGCCGCCGCGCGCTACGAGAATCAAAGGGAGAGTTTATGAGCGAGGGTTTTCATCTCGCCCGCGAATATAAACCTCAGGACGTGTCCAATGAAAAGCGTTACAGCTCCAATAGACTGGTTCTATAGAAGTATTTGACGGTAGCGCGAAAGAGGGTGGATGATAACTCGCCTGTTATTGGGAAAATGAAACGTTATCGATCAGCCGAAAAGAGAAATTAATTTATATCGCAAGTGACAAGTCTTGATGTTCAAATCAGAAAATATATTATTCTTAAACGCAGAAGGAAAAATGCAAGAAATGGTTCCGAGATACACACACACTATCCTCCTAATTAGAATTATTGAGTTATTTATTAATCAGACTATATTCCGAGTTGCAATCGCAACTTGCTTATTTATAATTACTACAATTATTCTACATGATAATTTCTGCTCTGAAGTCAAAAATGAGGAATAGTGAATAATAAATGATGCATGATTATTGTAACCAAGATGTAAAGCAATCAATGAATGACAGACTGAATGCATGGGAAAATGGAAGAATCTCGACTAAACCTGACATGAAATTGTTTGCTCTATCACAATACTGTACAGTAACATCGCAGGACTCCAAGTGACATTAAAGAAATCCATGTAGTCCTTCGTAATATGACGAGCATGCACATCGTTCGAAGGAATTCCTACATGGTTAGCCCAAGCGCAGGTGTCGTGTCGTGCCGCGTGGGTCTTGTGGGCGACGCAAGCAACTCTTGTCGCACTCCAGTCGTGTCGAAACCGGCCCGACATATCGTCTTAATAAAACAAACGATCTATTTCGTGTCGTAACGCAGGACCCGAGGGCCCCGGGGCCGCAGGTGAAAGGCATCAGGGCCCTGTGCCGAACATCTTTAGAAGGAGGGGGCGGGGCGGTGAGACGCCGGCGGTGGGAGTCGATGGGGAGAAAGAGAAGCGCGGTGGTGACGGCAGTCTCGTGGGAGCAGCGCTTGCGAGCAGTGTGGCCGGTGCTGTCGGTATTGCGGTCGGGGTTCAACGCATCTTGGTCGGCATCGGGGGGCGGAGGCAACTAAGACCACGCCCCGCGACGCCGCACTTCTCGAGTGGAATGGAAAAGTCTTGTGACGCTCTGGTTGACTTGCAGAGCGATTCATGCCAATGTGCAATGTCTGCTAAGCAAGTTGCTAGACGATTGTTTTTGCGATTACTATCGACTGACTGATTGATTGATTAGTAATTCTAAACGCGTTAACTGCTAACGACATTGTCCCGTAAGTGTCATTTATGTTTTTATCGCGGAACGTGTCGGTGATCTTCCTCAGGGCGCGGGACCCGGCAACGACCTACCCGTTTTTTCGAGGTTTTCTCAGAACAGGTATCTCTCATCAGCGGAGGGCGCCCCAGCTGGGAGTAGCTTGAAGCTCCCGACTGGTGTCCTGTGTGATATTGTAATGTACGTCAGTGAAAATATTTGTAATGGGTGCGGATATGACAAGAAATACGAAGAAAAATTCGCGCGCGGTCTGTGTGTCGATCGTTAGGGTACTTCGACATTTGCCGGGTGATGATCAGAGAAACCACGGAAAACTACCGACCAGAGCACCTAGCTGCTAGAATTTCCCCTCCAGACAGCGGTTGAATTCGGCCTACATTCGATATACACACACGCACACGCACACATATGTGTGTGCGTGTGTGTATAGTGTCGAAAATCCTGCTACTGTCGGAACTTGAACCCCAAGTCCTCCTGGTTATGTCGACTCTCCAGTGACATCAATTGATGCTCTGAGCCATCTAATGTTAATTTACAGTCGCAGAGAATTGTACATTAATTACATACGGGGCTCGCACATCTCTGGGACTCGAAGAATCAAAAGTGTGACAAATTTCATACGATTTTCGTTAAAGGGTTGAAAGAAAATTCAGACGATACTGAGTGTGTGTTTTTCCTTCTTTGTGATCGATTTCTAGCCATGACCCACGTTTAAACGAATAATAAAAGGTCGTATTTCTCGCGAGAATGTCCAATTTAATCTTCTCATTGTATACGAGAATAAATGTATCCTCATTTGTCAGTTTCTATTCATTTGCGTTATTAATAACTCTTCAATCCGCCAATAATTAACAGGAGAGAGACACTGAAAAAATAAAAAGGTTCGAGGTGCCTTATTCGAATGAATTCTGTCTAAAACATACACAAATATGGGATTTTATGGAAGAAAGATAACGATTTGCTGGAAAGAGCTGCATTGAAGTTTCGAAGTATCCACTCAATATTTGAATAACAGGAAGACAAGTGTCCAGAAATGTATATCAATAATTTCTAGCGCGCGAAGAAATTAAAAGAAAACTATTCTACTTCCGACCCTGTGAAAGGTGTCCCTGTTTGCTATAGGCACCCAGGATCTGGGTAAAAATACGAAGGCTGTTTCGATTCTGACTTACAATGCAAATATTTAACTATGTTTTTCCAGCTACTTTCATATCGCGCGTACCAACTGAACACTCATGCTCAGTGCGTCACTGCTTACAAGCCATGTGACAAGATGACTCCTAGGAAAATACCTCCTGCAGTGAAATATTTGCTTATATTTTGTATAATGGAACATCTTTTTTATATTCTAGATATATAAAGTAGTACTATTGTACTGTCTACCAGCATATGCTGTTATATGTTATTGCAGTACGCATGAAGATGGTTTTTCTTAAACTATTTATTTGTTGAAGTTCTGTACGAGAGTTTCTAAATGTCGTTCTTGAACAGTGCGAGTGCTACGTTTTGAAAAACCGTTTTGTGTTGTTTAGTACAGCAGCATTTTTACTGATGCTAGCCGTTAGTCGAATTTCATTTCGACCTTATCAAATGGAATCTGCAATATGACATTGAAAACACTAGAATAAAGATGTAAACCAGAAATAGCATATTGGTACATTGGGACTTTATATGTGAACCACTTAAGTACTAGCGAATGTACACCATTTATCTCAACTCACTAAAAGAATTTAAAACACTTCCTATGTGATACGCGATAACGTAAATTCCTTCCATATTATTACAGACATTTTAGACATTTTTCTCCGAGAAATAATTTTGACATTTGCATACTGCGATTAAAAGGTTCATAATATAGTTTTAAATAAAACTTTTGCCGAACTTCATACTACTCACAGCTCTGTTAGGTTTGCCATTGTCGAAAATGCGCCTTCTGGTATCTCCGTGAGGTTGTTGCTGGAGAGATCTCTGAAAGAAAAGGAAAAATGAACACATAAATTCATGGAAATAATTCATTTGCTTTTGAATATGGAGCACAAAGAGAATTATAAAGAGTATACTATGGTAAAGAAGAGATAAAAGTGCAAGAAAGTACACTTATATAACAATGTTGGAACAGTCTCTAAAGAAAAAATATATGTAAGACAATTCCTGAGCACGTTAAACTCAATTTCAGAATTGAAAGGTTTTTCTGGAAACAAACATAATTTCAGGGTAGTAAGGCAATTCCTGAGGACATTAAACATAATTTCAGAGTAGCAAGAAGTACTGTCATACATAATAGCTCTTCATCAAGGATCACCAGAAAATGTCTTGAAAATTAACAATAAAATAACAAACTACTTATCGTATCCAGTAAGTTCTAACGCAAGAAAAATAGCAATAAGTGTAAGATCCTCTTCGAGATACAGGCATTACATCGCACCATATTGTAAAATATATCTGACAGTAAAAATGTTCTATTTTAGGTAAACTGTGTTTATTTATTTTCTAAGATATTACATCTTCTTGATTAAGAAAGTTTCACTGAATGCGGGCAAACAGAAACACACAAAACAACATAATTTGCTCTCGTCCTGCTACTTCAAGAACATTAGAAGTTTTGACGTGTTTCGGCCGCCACTGTTAACTCCTTGTTACATCACTTAAGGTTCGATGTTTTATGTTGTCATGTGTTTTAACACACATTCAGAAATCAATAGCGTTGAGAAAACTATCTGATTACGTCTCTATTGACATTATTTTTATAAATCCTTCGTCAGGGGTTCGAATAAAGATCATCAATTTTTAGTTCAATAATATCAGTTTATTTCATTTGTTTTCAAATTTTCAGACATAAGACCCGACTCAACAAGAAACCTTGCCCGTATTCCTGATCTTTGAAATTAAAAGTTGCCAGCTTTGAAGTATATTAAATATTCGTTCAGAACAAAATTGAGAATGAAAATTGCTATTTGATGTATTTTCAAAACTTACAATTCTGAATTACGACCACCATTCAGAATGAACATGAACAAGTGTATGAAGTACGGTTTTGCCAAATACAAAAATAAGAGAAATACGTTTTTACTTATTACTTTACACATTTACCATACCACATACGTAGTATAGAGAAAGTTGGGTATTGCTGCAGCACATTTTGTGGGTCTTTCAGAAAAATACGCGTATATATTAAAACGTCTGCCAGCTCGGCTGTTTTGTGATTCCTTGAATTTGAAAGCGACATTTTAATTTTGAGGGTACTTTATATGAAAGTCTCAAGGACATTTTCAATTTTTTCTCAAAAACGGCTTCAAGTTCTTTGGATAAACTTTGCCCTCGGATAGTGTAAAGGACGCTTAAACCTTGGCACATGTCTTAGTTTTGTAGAAATATCTGACTTTTCAAAAATTCAGATCAAAGTTAAAACATTTTTTGTCGTCTTTCTACAACTACAGTATTGAAAAATGCGTAAGTAACCTTGGTCGTACATACTTTGCAGCGTCTGGGCGGAAAAAGTTCTGCGTTTTTTTGTTGTTTTTTTGTTGTTTTTTTGGTTTTTTTTAGCGTGCGACTTGTTTGAGTTTGCTTACGCATCTGGTATAGGTTCTACTACGTTAACATTTTGTATATCATATTTTGTAATAAATTTAATTTTTCATGAATTCCTGTAATTTTTAAATAGCTCTGATGATTGGTACGCGAACGAAAAAATGTAAAGTTTAATATACATTACATACATACATACATACATAATACATACATACATACATACATACATACATACATACATACATACATACATACATACATACATACATACACGATACCAGAAAATATCTTTTATTTTTTTAATTATTAGATGATATCGTTCTCAAAGGCGACCTTATTAACTTTACTCAGAATTCGCATAATTTACGAGGCGGGCGATCCAAATTGGAATCCAGCGTCCGCAAAATAAATACGATGACGGACGAAACAAAACCTGCATTTTTTCTCCGATTGAGAATTTCTGTTCCCCAATGACTGAACCAAACCATATTTCCTACAAGCGATTTCTCCCTTTCGACACATCCTGCTTCCGGCGCTGCTCTCGCTGCGAATCGAACTCGCGTCTGCGCTTCCTGCATCGCGTGATGGATTCGGAGGGGGGGGGCGTGGCCTTCGACGGGGCAAATTGAAAAACTTCCTTCACAGACGCCTCCCCCCCCCCAAACACACACAACAAACCGCCTCGGCTTGGGCCTGCACCTTGCCGCCCGGCACTGCCATCTTCACAGCTTCCTCTGCTTTCATGATCGACGCTATTGCGATTGTCAGAGCCACACGTGCAATAACACCTCTATCTGCGCCCTCGCCGGTGGCCATGCCGCCGCCGTCGCCGTCGCTATCTCCGCCAGCAAGTCAGCGGTCGCCGCCGCCCCTCACGATCCCCACAACCGCTGCTCCCATCGCAGCCGACACCGCTCGCTTCCTCCCAACCTAATCCAATTTCCGAGCCGACGGGTGAATGGACTGGCCTTATGAAATATTAATGGCCTGCCGGTGTACTCTTTCTGCTTTCTCCACTCTTCCTTGTGCTTAAATACACACGACTCATTCCTGAGCAAACACGTTCGATTGCTTTGGAGGAGCCATAAACGAGTTCTTATTGGAAGTATTGTAGCGTGCACAAAGTAAAATTGCTCGTCGTTTTTTCAGTCCCAGAATTTATTTTCAAAGAAGGAGGGATGTCTTTCTCACGACTTATTACTGACTAATTAAGAGAATTTTTGTGAATAGTTAAAACAAAAGTTTTTTTTTCACTATCAGACAATTATTAAATCTGATGTATAGTGGTGACTACTTATTTTGAAAAACCATATCAATTATGAAGGTAAATATACAAATTCCGAAAATTTAAATTATAAAGTTAACTCCTAAAATAAGAGGACAACTAGAAAATTACAGTGGATATAATATTGTACGTCGTTAGTTATTGCACGCTTCTACACTTTCAAAAAGAATGAAAGCAATAGTATTTAAAGTACAGTATAGAATTGTGAACCTATAACAATAAAGATTATTTATAATATAATGCATAAATTAAAAATTAGGATAATGAATATTATATTACTATATCATATCTGTAATTCTATTGAAAACATTTTATTATACAACTTTAGACTATGTTACAGGATATAAAACTGTCAGTGACAGTATCATTCGTCTTTTTCCAGAATTCAAACATGAAGAGAAAATGAAGTGTAAATAATTGGTTGATTGGACTTACACTTCCTGTGCAAGCACAGCAATTTCATGACATGACTCTCATCACTAATGGGTATTTAATCAAGATTGCAATCTCCTTAGCTATTAGCTTCTTTGGTGAGCAAATAGAGAGCAGTAAACAAACGATAAATTGCGTTCCTTTCTTGCGGAGTGTTTTCAAACGCCATTTTCGGTGAGATTATGATTAAAAAATGAGACTTGAGCTCATTCTAGCAATGAAATTAAATCTGAATAGCGGCGGTCATCATTCTCAGCATGTCATCAAGACGCGAGTTCGTTTTTGAATTCCGCAACTTAATCTACCTTAGATTGAACCATCACTTTGTGGCATCTTCCTCAGTGACGGCTCTCTGTAATCATCGTCATTATCTGCCTTCCCCTTACACCCATTTAGGATTAACGACCCCTATTATCCCTTCCCTTGCCCTGCCGCTAGTGAATTGCGATCTAACCGCCTCCATCGCAAGGAATGGTCCTTCAAGCATTCATTAGGCGCTCAGCAAATGCACGCAAAAGAATTGGTAAATTCTGGATTGACATTTCAAACAATTTTTCCCCATTATTTCCTAAATTCCCTTGGTAATACTCTTGGAACCTTTTGTAACTATGTGATTACTTCAAATCATTTTCCTACATTTTCCTACTCATTTTCCTACTACGACTATTCAATAGAATTTAATATATTCACTACGAAGCAGTTGGAAGATGTACAATTAACAACAAATCGTATGATGTTCTTTTCAGAAACAAAATATGGTCGGTTTCTTCTTTTTCTATGTCCACCTCCACCAGCAAGCATTTCACATTATTTACTTGGACCGCAGTGAACTCTGGAACAAAATGCATTTCATGTCCTAAAAGAAAGGGTTTGGCATTTTATGTCTTTCCTAATAAAGGAGAAATAGCCTCGTATGATATTAACTATCCATTTGATTAAATATATAAAATATAAATAATTAAATCTCTGAAAATGTGACGTAAAATCCCAAAACTCTATAGCATCAGCTCAAAATCGGTAAAGCGAACATTTTTTTATTTTGCATTAAAGATTCTTCTAAAAGCTTTCATTAGTGTTGCTTCTCATGTGATCATTTGCTGACTCACGTAAAAGCTGCCACAACAGTCAAGAAATGTACAGAATGTAGAGTTTTAGATCTTTTTATACCAGCATTATAAACGACCTTTTCACTTGCAAGAAATGGTTCATAAAAGGTCGTTTTACGGCACAAATGCTAACGTACTTTACGTCACGAATGATTGCGTCATCACATATTCAGCCAATTGCAGCGGTCCAACGTTTCCTCGCACAGATGTCAAATATCCTGGTAGGTGTGGGTATTCAGAACATGTAACGAAACGTGTTTGTATATCTCTGTTTATTTGTGGCTGTGTGCTGACACGATCGGTCATAATCGAAAACTGTGGTCATAAACTGCTCATTTATCTTTGTCTGCAACACTTTGAGACGTACTTTGACCCTTTGAAACATCAAGAAAAAAAATCAAAAGATTATTGGTGGTCAAGGGAATTCTTCCGAGAAGATTCTTAACTTCGGAAGCCTGGGCTTTGAGGAGGAGGAGGACAATTTCACCCAATTGTAAGCGGCACGAAAAATATCTTCCAAGATGGCCAAATCATTCTTTGCAAAGAAATTATTAGACTTTTTTATTAAAGTAAATATCTTTAATTAGCAAAATACCTACTCAATTTAATGACATGACGAATAATCTATAAAGTAAAATATTATAAATAATACACGCAATAGAAGCCATCAATAATGTTATAACTGTGTTAACACAACATGAATGCTAATTTTTATTAATAGACAGATTCCGCAGATAAACCATCTTGGGTTCTTCTTAAAAGAATACATTTTCAGCATTTACCTGGTCCGTACTGAATGTGGCGTCGGCCCTGGTAAGTAATATTTAATTGTCAAGAACGTGGGAGTCGGGCATCAATACATTACTAAGGTTAATAGTTTCAAGCAATTAATAAGTTGAGAATTGCTAAAGTATTTCAGATTGGTTTGCACAAAGTTAGGCTCATTGTCTTATTAATTTTCAGAGATTTTACATTCGTTTCAAATTGGCTATGTCATATATATTAAAAACTATATAAAAATTATATAATATTATGAATCAAATTTAATAAATTATTTAAATAAATACTTATAGACATTTTAAAACCGTTTCAACTTCCGTTTCAAAGTGCTTTTCAAAGTGCCAGGGATGGCCAGGGTGTTGATTCTCCCTGGTAAAGTACAAGGCGCAAAGACGATGCACTGCAGTCTATCTACTACGTCAAGGAAGAACATTGCACGCCTAGCGCAGGCGCTCTGCCAACTGTCAACAGCAACCTTCAGTGTAAAAATAGGCAGACTTTGCAGAAACGTTTTGAAATATTTTTCATTTCACATAGTTGCACACTTTTGATAAATGTGGATCATCTCTACCCAATGTGTATGCTTTATACACAATTTCGCACAATATAAAATTTTATTCTGATGCATCTCTGTTGTGGGGAGAATAAATTACGACAATAGAGCGATAGAAAATCATGAAATTTGAATGTTTCGTGTTTAATAATTCTTTAAAATACGCCATTTGGAGTAAGGTACTTGTTTAAATTAAGATGATTTTGAAACGTTGTTTCCATGAAACGAAAATATAGAAGGGTGAACATAAAAAATGTATAAACTGATATCATAATTGTACAATCCTTTTAATAATAACGCCGTTAAACCAAATAGTATATTCAGTGCATGACAGCATTATCGTTTATATTTTTGGTCATTTGAATGCATGTGTTTCCTAGAAAAGCAAACATGTATACGTGTCTTTATGTGTCACCATTATGCAAAGTCACAAGCAGTACTCCGATTTAGTTATTACATCGCACGCTAACAAAGACGTTTGCTACACGAGGCTAAAAAGCCTTTGTGAGCTCCCTTCACTCTACATTTGCAGTACATAATAATATTCCGCCCTCCACAAAGCCTTCTTTCACCTTCGAGCGAACCACTGCCCACTGCCAGTCATCAGTCGTACTCCTTTACGGGGGCTCCGGGGCTCGCCATTATGTGCCGACGCTATCTGCTCGGAACAGTACCGCCTCTGGTGGCAGCTGCTTGCCCCGTCGAGATGCGAACGCCGACATCGATAGTCGAGCGTCGAATTCAATCACGTGATCTAATGCATCTGGCCCACATATAGCGTCTGGAGCACACACACACACAATGGCTGCCTTCAATGCGGGAATACTCTCGGGAGAGAAACATTTAAGAGATCCGCCCATCTCGATAGTGTGCACAAAGGGGACCATTTCATCCTTTGTGGATGCCAAATGGAAGACTCACGCCCTTTCGATACTTGCAAGATGAAATTACCAATCGATGAAATCTGTCATACGGTTCGCGGCTAAGTATTCTTCGTTTTGGATATACGATCGAAAAATTACACACAATAAAATTATTCGCGTGTTTATTTCCTGTTTAGCAATATTCAGAATAATAATCTACAAGGTTTAATCAAATCGTAACGGCGTTTCACTTCAATCAGTAGAAATTCTATGCAAACTGTAACTGTTCGGTGTTGGACTGCGCCAATTGGGGTGGCGGCCCGTCCCCAGCAAAGCGTGAAATCCAATATTCCGCCTCCCGTATACCCCACGCAAACAAATGTTCATTGGTTCCCAGGTGAGACATACTCGCGGATTTTGCCCCGGTGTGCACGAGGGTTCAAACGGAGAGATATAACACAGCGGAACCGTTTGTAGTCCCCAATAAGTAAGTACCAACGATGTATATTTAAATATTTACACGGTCGTGGGCTGCAAATTTGTCTTACGATCCTGGATGTGGGAAAACCTGAATTAAGCGACCACTGTTAGTTCTGAGAAGAATGTGATATTTTACTAGGGTAGTCGGTTAATAGAGAGAATATTATTTTTCAAATTATCAAAAGAAATATCAATATCAAAAGAATAATATTGTTGCTAGAAATCAAATGATTAGGAAAGAGTCTATAAAATCAGATGTTAACAAAAAGATTTTTAGCATACGAGCATTGTGAAAAATTGAGATATTTGACTAAGTT